CTCTCAAATAAAGACCCTTGAAAAGCAGGCGCTATAACTTAATATTTTTAGGTCGCTCAAAGCCTCTAAACATTAAATTTTTTTCGGAAAAGTTGTAAAAAACTGCATTTTTCACTCATTTTCACTGCTAAATCTTTTTTAATTACCTTATTAAATAAGTACCTGATGGCCATTAAGTTTGAAGTACAACACATGAAACAAAAATGTAAATATAAGTAATTAATGCGATCTTTGGCATAAGATCGTCTATAGCAAATATAAAATGATTTAATGAATTTAACTATTTTTTAACCATCCACGGCTTATAATCTTGTTTTGTAAGTAAATATATCAAACGCCACTTTAGAAAAACATTCCATCATCTTCAAACTAAAGCCTCTCTAAAGTTACATGCTGTAGCTTAAAAATTAATGGTCGTTAATTGCTTCAAAATATTGCTATCTTCTCTCTCTAAAAATGGCATGTTAAATAAAGTCGATAATGTAGTTTCACAAAATTATATTTTTTCGCAGGCTGGAAATCATGACGTATCGCGATTAGTCACCCGTTATGGACGGCAACGAGCGGAAGCTATAACTATGATAACTTTATTGCTTCCGGGAGTGGGTGTAACTTATAACGGCGAAGAAATCGGCATGGAGGACACGTGGATCTCATGGAAAGACACCAAAGATCCGCGAGGTTGCAATGCCGGCAGAGATGGTTACGAGAAAGCGTCTCGGGATCCTGCAAGGACACCGTTTCAATGGGACGACACCACTTCGGCTGGTACAAGTTTATCTCCTTTCCCCCCCCCCCAGCACCTTCTAAAATCGCTATGTCAATCTATCAGTTAGGTCCACAATTTAAGCTAAAACGCAATTTAAGCTGACTATTATCTGTCGAAACTAATTACAAAAATTCACAGAAGCAGTTCAAGTTGAAATTAAGTTGATTGAAAAATTTCAAGCTATCTTTCGTTGGTCAACAATTAATAAAATATTTGAATCATTGATAAAACAATGTATGCATGAAGCTTGTTACATATTTTTTGCAAGTTTATTAATAATTTTAAAACAGAGGAATATTTAATGTTATTATCGACTTTTTTTAAATATCGACCAAGTTAAATATTACTTCGCTATAACGTTTGCAAAGCAAATTGATTTTTTCTCAAAAAATTAATCAAGCTATTGACTTTTTAATAAATAGTAAAAAATTCCATTTCTTTTTAGTATAACTAGTCACACCATAAAAACTGGTTTATATCGAACGTAGCACGCTTTCAATCTCAGATTCGTTTCATGGCTTCAACACGACATATTTGTCAGGTTATATGTCACATTTTGAGATTACGAAAAAAAGTAGGTGAAAAACTATATTGATGAAACAAGTTGCTTATCGATCGTATTATAACATCCTATCGCTGTCAGTTTGGATTTGTCATATTTTATATCAAAAAGGCATTATATTTTATTGAAACTATAATATCATACCATCATATACCATAATATTGAAAGTGTAGTTATATGAAAGCAATATACATATAATTATAAGACTTGTGTTTGATAAAAAATCTGAGTTTTATTTCAATTATAAAATTTTAGGATTCTCCACAAATCCAAAAACGTGGCTATCAGTTAATAAAAACTACGTGACACTTAATTTAGCCGCGCAAAAGAAACAGAACAACTCCTACTACGCTCTATATAAAGCAGTTTCTGCTCTACGAAAATGGCCTGCGGTTAAACGTCCAACCACGAAATTAACGACGAAATTATTGGGCGATGATGTTCTCGCTTTTACCAGGTAAGATATATATATATATATATATATATATATATATATTGTCACGGCTTTTTGCACTCCCGAACCGCGCCGGGACGTGTGCCGGATCAAAAGGGGGAAAGGAGAGAAAAGTGATAGGCCTCTCCGACGATTCCCTCGCACCTCCGACACTCCACAAAACGATTTTGCTGTTGGGCGCCAGACGCGTAAATTCGCGTCCGCGAAATCGCAAAGGAGAACCAAGACGAGACGCGAGACAAAACGTGCGGATGTGCGAGGAATCGGTTAGCTCGACCTAAGGGCTGGGGCGGGGTTGATGAAGGGCAGCGCGATATCCGGCGGGGTGACACACAATAAATAAGGCCACAAACTCAAGCGATTAACAATTCAAAAATAACATTTATTCCTTAGTAAATCGCGGGTGAAACAATAAATGCCAATTCGGGTTCAGTCAATTGAACAAATCAAATAGTCGATCACGCGGGCGTCAGAAATGAAACATCAAACTTTTGATAGCGCGGACGCCAGAAATGAGGCGTATTACGGTATCGTATAGCCAACGCGCAGAATGATACGCCGAGATACTCGAAATAGCGCAGAATACTGGAACGAACGCGAGGAAAAATATACGGAATTACCGCGAACAATAATAACACGCAATCACGACGGCACTGAGCCTATCGCGAGAATGGAGTAAATCACGCGAATAACGTTCTCCCGCCAGCACGACTACTTCTTACACGCAATTACCGAAACAACGCATCCAAACATAACTATCCTAACACGCATAATTTTCTACGGCAATTAGCCCATATAAACGGCAGGTTAACGCGATGGATGGGCCAACGCGGACGACATTCCAACATAAGTAATGTTTGGTAATTCGATACGCCGTGAACACTGTATGCACGAGACGCAACCACGAGCGCGGACATTACACAAAAACGGACTCGCATTACCGGATTTCGCCACGAATCTATCGCGATCTCCAGAGGCTCGCTATCACGTCTTTATTCCGATTCCGCGGCCACAATACCATCCCGATACTCGGTCTCAAGGGACCGTACGTGTCGCGATATCACAAACGTTTTTCCCGAACGAGAGCGCGCACCGGAGGGCGGCGTCGTGGCTTTACATGTCGGTATTAAGTACTTGCGGGCAACCTCACCGATGCGATGCCTTCTCTTCGGGCTCCTCGCCGTCACCTCGTGCCAACAGTCGTCGCAGGACGAAATGAATACCCGACTCGGGGCGGCTATTGCGAATCGTAAGGAAACTTCTATATCGTGTTCGGACTCGCCGACAGACGACCAGAGTGTCTCATTAAATCCGTTCGATTGCGGAATCGATATGGCACCCCTTTCCGTAGGGGCGCGCCGACCAATCGGGAGCAAACTTGCAAGCTCGCGCGATATTTTAACGCAGGATCGTCGTAAGGTGGATCCATCGGGGGCGCGCAACGATCCCACGGCGGCGCCGCGGCGTAGCGACTCCTTCAATTTGTCCCTGGACAGCGGACTGGACTTCGTTCTAGCCGGTGTGCCTCCGGTTTGACCTCGGGGCGGTGATCAGTCACCCCGCGGGCCGGTATTTCGTGGAGGCAGATTGCTGAGGCCGGGTTTTTCCCCAGGCGCCTGGGGCCCCGCTATCGGCGGCCTTGTCCATCGCTGCTTCATTCGCCGCACGCCTGCCGCGTTGCTCTCGCCGCCCGGGATTTCAGTGGTTTCCGCTTTCGCCACTCCTCCTCGGTCCGTGGTCCTCCCGGACCCTTCCGTTACGTGCACTCCCTCGAAGATTCGCCGTGGTGGGGTGAGGCGCCGCGTGTATTACGATTACATAAAAATAAAACAATAGTCAAAACGCGGAAATAATATAAATTTTTGGCCTCTGGAGATCTCGTCGTCGCCTCCCTGACTCATCCCTGGGCGCGAATTTCCGCGCCTTGTGACGGCGGCGGGGCGCTGCCACGAAGCGGCGGGCCGCAACGTCACAATATATATAATACAAGCATGCAGTTATTACTGTTATTCTTTAGTAATATTATTTGAGCGCCTTTTTATTATACAGGGTGTTTCAGATTTGCACGGCACTATATTTTAAAGAAATATTTTCTAGGTCAAAATGAATAAAAAAGATTATATAAATATATGTCCCAAACTTATTTATTAGTAAGATATTTGTTGGCGGGTGATAATTAGAGTTTGTGTCTATATAACGCGGTTTTATTCAGTATAGAATTACAACGATTATGGT